CTGCGCTCTAATTATTAACAGCAGCTGGAAGAGCAGTTACTGCTGCTGCAGCCGGCGAGCGGGACGAGGGCTTCTGAAGGCGGGCGGAAGTTGGGAAGTAAGGCCAGCCCCTGCTTAGAGCAAGCCTGGGGGGCGACCTTGGGCCTTGGTGTCCTTCCTGGCCACAGGGTAGGGTGAGCCGGCGACCTGGTGCCCAGAGGCTCAGTGGAACATGTTGGTGTCTTCCCTTCTGCAGACGCTAGTCCTCCACCCCAACCACTGCCACAGCCCCCCATGTCCCCAGGAGGCCTCGAGGAGATGGAGAGTCAGGAGCCGGAGACAAGGCTGGAGGAGGAGGAGGAGGAGGCCAGCAGCCCCTGGGGTGGGCCAGGTAAGCACGCCTGCATTCGAGGTCTGCCAGCATCACCTCTCCTGGGTGGCTTGGGGGCCCTGCCTTGTGGGAGTCCTGGGAGTCGGCCACCCTGATGGCTTGGGTGGGACAGGCCTGGCCTGCTGGCCAGGGAGGTCGATAGTGAAACATCGGGCCCAGCGCTGCCTGTTTCAATGTCCAGCTGGCCTGTGGGGCCAGCGGCTTCCCTGGAGGTAGGCCCTGCGCAGCAGACAAGCTGCCGATGATCTCAGGCGGCAGAGTCCGGCCTGGCTGGGCAAGCGGTGCAGGCTGTGAGGGTGAGGAAGGGCATGTGGGAGATGGGAACAGCCCGAGCAGGGGCAGGGAGGTAGGGGTGTGTGTCTGGAGCCACCAGGATGCCTGGGCCTTCCCAGCCGGGCCAGGAGCTCAGGCCTGTGCAGGGCGGGAGAGGACCCACCCCTGGGGTGGCTGCAGCACGTGGGAGGGAGGTGGCTCCAGTCTGCCAGGCCCTGGACCACAGGGAGTGTCTCTGATGGCGGTTCACCTCCCAGCACTCCCCCCGCCCAGGCTGCCAGAATTCTGACTGTGGAGGGCCCACCAGATGTCCCCTCCCAGCAGCTCCCCAGTTCCACCCACTTACGAGCACAGGGCAGGCTGGGCGTGTCTGCTGTTTCTGTGATTCCTAATTGGAACTAGTGCTGCTTGGGGGACCCAGGGCAGCTTGGGGGTGGGGTCCCAGGGCTGCCGCTCAGGGCACTGGTCGTCGAGGGCGGTCCCATGGGAGCTGCTGGGTGGAGGAGGGAGGGCGTGGTCCTTGGCGAATGGAGGGCGGCACCGAGGCTGCACACCCAGGCCAGGCGTGTGGGCGTGCCTAGCAAGCATGTACTGAGCACCTGCTGTGCACCGACCCGGAGCTGCCCTCACACTAGTGAGGCTGGTGGCCAGTGGGGAGGAAGCACATGTGAGGGCCTCACCGTGCTGGGGGGGTCAGGGAAGACTTCACCAGGGCAGAGGGGACCCCTGTGATCTCTCGGGGTGTCAGAGATGGTTTCCTGCCAGGTCCGATGCAAGTGGCTGTGTGGACCCCTCGTTGGGATCCCAAGGAGTCAGGAAGAGTACTGGGACGGACGTGTGGTGTCTGCGTGGTGCTGCGTGGGGGTGGTGGCTTGCGTGCCCTCCAGTCCCCCTGCTGATTTAACACAACCCAGACCCACCATAGGTGGGGGTCTGGGCCCAGGGAGGGAGGGGCTGGCCTGGTGGGCACAAGCGAGTTGGTGACGCTGCTCCACCGGGAGTCTGAGCTCTGCCAGCCTCTGCCTGCTGGGTGGGCCGTGGTGCTGCCTGGGTGTGGAGCATCCTGTGCATGGCAGGCTGGGGGCCCCCTCTGCCGTCCCCAGGCTGGGAACGGGTTGAGCACAGCGATGTCGTGCCCACCCCACCCCGCCTCAGGGTCCCAGCGATGGGCAGGGATGTGACGACAGCAAGCTCGTCCACAGCAAGGAGCGCCTGGCCGGGTGCGCGGGGCCCTCCCAGCCCAGTCGGCACAACTGAGCCGGACGCCCACCTGCTGGGGTCCGGGACCGGCGGCGGGGCCTTTTGGGCGCAGGGGCAGTGCAGTGGGGGCTGGGGCCCTGCGATCAGACTGCTCTGACCCCATCAGCCCCCCCAGCTCTAGGATGGAGTAGCAGCGAGGCCCCCAGACACTGGGTCAGCACGACTCCGGCATGGGCTCCCGAATTCCAGGGACACCCAGGTGCCTGTGGGACCCTGATAGGCCCCTGGGCAGGCGGTGGGGCTGAGGAAGCCGCAGCTGGACAGAGTGACCATGGGGACAAGTGTGCAGGGCAGTCACAGGCGGCAGGTGTCAGGCGACCCTCCCCTTTGTGGAGAGACCCAGACACAGAGCAACAAAGGGAGCGGCACGCCCGTGTTGGTGCCAGCCACGGCCATCCTCCGCTGGCCCGTCCACCCTGCGGGGCTAGCAGCACCACCCCCATTTCACAGACAGGAAAGCGGAGGCCTCTGGGCAAGGTCTGGCCGCCAGCGGCTGTGGGGGCCGTGGTTTGGGCTGGGGTGCACCGTGGAGCTTCCAGCGCTATTCGCATCTTCGGGGGCTGGGGGGCTCCCTATCGGCCCCCACAGATAGGCATTTCTGTGCAGCGGGCAGCGATGGGCCGATAAGCAGCCGCCAGCCAACCGCCGTGGTGGCCGCCCCCTATCAGACCCTGAACAGGCCACACTTATCGCCCGCCCGGGAAGCCAGAGACGCCCCGTGGGCTCTTATCTTGTAGGGGCCGCTGTGCTGGTGCTGGGGCGACAGGGTCGGCGTCCCCAAGGGCAGCGCCCAGCCCAGTGGCCAGCATGTGTGGGGACAGGGTGTGCAACCAGGGCCTCTGCCACAGGCCTGGTGCTCCTCGTGGCTCCCCAGCCCCTCCCTGTCCATCTGCACCTCTGCCCGCTCCCTGTCTGAGTCTGTCTGTCCATCTCTGCTGCCCCCGCCTCGCCATCCCGTGGGGACAAGTGAAGGCCTGCCCCAGCCTGCCTGGCTCTAGGGGGTGACTGGCCCCAAGTCTCAGTTCCCCATCTGCGTGGTGTGAGGGTGGGCCTGGCCACCTCACAGAGACCGGGGCTCGGCCCACACAGGTGCTCGCCGCTGCCTCTCCTTTCCAGCCGCATCTGCTCATGGGTCTCCTAGGAACCCTCCCCGGGTCAGACCCACCGCCTGAGAAGGGCGCTGAGACAACAGGGGCTCAGGCGCAGGTGACGTCAGCCGGCAGGGAGGCTAGGCCTCCGTGCCTCTCTCCAGCTGCACAGTGGGTGCAGCAAGGCTGCCCTGTCTGCAGCGGTCAAGGCCCCAGGCAGATGGCCACAAAGCCCTGGGGAGACGCCCGCACGGCACCGGGCCGAAGGGAAGCCTCCAAGCCCCCTGCTGCCCGGAGGCCCTTGGCACACACTGCAAGCCTGCTGAGGTGCTGGACCCGCAAGGACTTTATAAACACTGGAGTGCGGGCCCCGGAATGTGCAAAGGGCCTATTATCTCTAGGCCTCGTCATTGCACCCACACTAGGTCCCCCGACCCCATCTGCGACCTGGCAACCCCAGAGCTCCAAAAACAAGCCGGGAGGTGCTTGGGGTCTTGTCTTCATTTTCAGACGTTGCGAGCATCGTCAGCTGCTGGTGGCTAGTTCTCCAGTGTTGCTGCTTCTAGTGGGAACCCTCCGGCCCCAGCTGTCCTGAGAGGCAGGAGCCTGCCTGCCCGGGCCTGGGTCCAGCTTTGCTGGTTACTTGATCTCTCTGGGCCTCAGTTTCCTCATGTGCTCTATGGTGCAGAGCCAGCGCCCCCCTCAGTGTTGTCATCCCTCCGGGAGGCCCAGGCTCCTCTGTACAAGGGGGCAGGGGGAGGGTGCAGGTGGGTTCGTTGGGAGAAGCAGCTCTCTGAATGGCCAGAACTCCGCTCTCGAGCAGAAAGCCACCACATCCCGTGGTCGGCCAAGCTGTGTGGCCATAGAACAAGGAGAAGCCACCTCGCCCTCGAAATGGATGAGGACAGAGCACCGGGCCCACCCCGGCCTCGGGTCCATGGGGGATGGCCACTAGCCCCAGGGAGGCAGGGTGTTGGGCTGAAGGCTGCGCTGGCCCCATCTTGCCCTCGTCTTCCTTTGAGCTGCCAGCCAGAAGGGAGTGGGCGGGCAGCAGGGACCAGAGAGTGGGTATTTTTATCTTTGAAATGACCTTGTTCGCTAGAGGGGCTGGCTGCTTAAAATTCTGCTATGCAGATGGCTGAGAGCTATCGTCCGTGATCCTCAAAGCACGTCTGGGAGGGTGGCTGCGCTGCCATGGCCGTCAGGGCGGGGGCCACCAAGTCCCATCCCACCGCCTCCCCACTCACCATCCCAGAAAAGCAGAGGGCGGGCAGACAGGCCAGCCCCCATTAGGACTGAGAGCCCTGAGGGTCCCATCTGACTGCTTGGGGGTCCCGGGCCTGTCACCCACCTCATGGTACCCGTCGGAGCCTCTGTCCCGTGGCATAGTGGCAATCAGTGTGACCTCAGCCTGCCTGGCTGGGTTGTGAGAAAACAGATGAAGGGAGGGGCTGCAGTGGGTTGGGCCCCCAGGGGTCTGGGAGCCTCTGTGTAGCCAGGCCTGTCGGGGATTCCCCTGCCCATGACTGGTCCGGCATTGCCTGGGGGTGGACAGAGACGGTGTCGCTCCTCTGCCCTCCCTGCCCGCTGTGCCCGGCCCAGGGAGGCGAAAGCAAGCACATCTCTGTGGTTCTCCCCTGCCTGTCTGGAGGCAGCGTGGTCCAGGCGCCCCTGAGTGCAAAGCTGTCCACCAGGGATGCTGTGCATAGCTGGGGACTGAGCAGGGGAACCCAGAGGCTCGCAGGGACTCCCCACTAGCTCTAGGGGCTGGTCCAGTGGCCGTGAGGGTGGCATGCACTCCATGGGGCCAGGAAGGAAGGGTGTGGCCAGGGTTGTGACATGGCTGTGTGAGCAGGGCCCTGGGAGTGGGGTCTCCTTCACCTGTCTTGGGGCCTAGAACTCTTCCCTGGTGACTACTGTTTACAAAACAGAATCCAACTGCCAAACATCAGGTGTCACCTTTTTTGTCCTCAGCTTCATCTCTAGCCCTAGAAGCAGAGATGGGAAGGCAGGCCATGTTCCCCCTGCACTGCAGGCCAGCAGAGGGGACAGCCAGCTGGTCAGGCCAGGGCAACAACATAGGAGGACCCCAAACCTCCCCTACTCCATCCCCAAGATGAGGCCCAAAGGATAAGTCAAAGTGGGGCGAGGGTGTTCAGGATGGAGTGGGCACGTGCAAAGGTCCTGAGATCTGGCTAGCATGGGCATGGCTGGAGCATTTGAGGCCAGAGTAGGGTTGGAGAGAGGACAGGACATGGAAAGGCCAGGGTTGGGCTCAGGGCCATAGACTGTAGGGAGACACCTCTGTTTTCTTGGCTGTAAAGTGGGGACAGAGTGTTAAGCAGGGCGTTTGATCAGCTGCTGCTCGGAGAATGGGGA